CATAAAATCCAATCCCACGAAAAGAGAAATCAAAAGAAATTAATTTTGAATCGTACAATTAATTCAATCGACTGCAGGCTGAAGGACGGGAAGAGAAATATCGTTGCGTTCGACGCATGGTCTCAGTGGAGAGTTCATAAATTTGACACAGCGTATACTATGCAGAACATATGGAAATTGAGCTTTTGAGAATAGGCTGGCTGAAAAACAAAGAGGTAGGTGGCCAAGTGAGTAAAAATATATACTCCTCTGGTCTTTATTATAAGACTCAATTTGACTTTTTATTTGGTCCTAATTATAAGACCCAATCCATTTTGTCTCTTATATTTATGCATTTTTTTCCAAGATAATCCTTCTAATAATGATAGTTTTAGCCAATATACTTGATTAGCAAGGATATTTTAGGAATGACAACACTTATTTATTATAAATAACCAACTTAACTTACTTTCTTAATCTCCTCAAATAAGTCAATTGGGTCTTATAATTAGGACCGGAGGAGTATAATACAATAATCAAAGATTAAAAAAAAATGGAAAGAGGGGATGATGGCGTGGGAGGGGCACTAGGTGAGATAGGCACTATGTAAACCGTGAAAGGGTACGATGGAAGAGACACAGCTGGAAGGGGTTGGGATGCATAATGTCAAAAAGGAAAAGGATTGAAATGTCACCCACTAATCATTCCTTGTTTGATTATCTTTATACTTTGTTTCTTCAGCCCCTCCTTTTCTGATTCCGGTATGATGCCTCATCCCCACCTTATTCTCCCTGCTTCTCTCACTCTCTTTTTCACTTGCATGCCTCTTCTTTATTCCCCCTCTTTATTTCCTTCTACCGAGCTTTCACATTTAATATAAGATTTAGGTATGTAATTTGTAAATATTAAAAAAATTAATTATTTTAATTAATATCTATTGGATTACCTAAAACGTCTTATATAATTATATACTCCTCCGATCTTTAATATAAGATCTCTTTAACTAATTTGATTAGATTAAGAAAATTAGGTATGTTAGTTAATTATAAAAAATATGATACATTTTTTCTAAAATACCATAATAATCTTTCTTAATACCTCATCTTTCTCTTCTACTTGATTATGGTTGAGGAAGTATCTATAGGAGTAGTTTAGAGAAAACTGATAAATATGAAAAATGGGTCTTATATTTATGACTAAAATCAACTCAATAATTAGGTTCTATATTAAGGATCGAGGAGTACATTATAATTACTCATTGATAAAAACCATTTACTGTACGCAATCAACAGAAATATTTTGAGAGAAGAACAATAAATTCAGGAGATAAAATAAATTGAGTTATTATATTTATAAATAATTTTTTTTTGTATATCTTCTTTGTTTAGGACATGTGGCAATATTTTTTGCATCCTTCCATTTTCATACTCATTAATTAGGATATATCCAAGGACTGTGAATTTATGATGGTGTGTGTGATATAAAAATCAGAAAGCAAAAATGTTATGGCCTGGAGGCTTGAATGCTTCTTCATAATTTCACACGATCAATCTTACTTGTAATTTCATATGATCAGTAATGATGTCTTTTAATCTGAGAGGAAAAAAAGTTAAGTAAGAGATAGAGTGGGTGTCAGATGAAATTACAGAACATTAATAATGGAGGGGGAATAGTGGGTGGGGGATAATGGAGAGTGGAGGTTGGGAAGAGGCCACGGGGAGAATGGAACAGGGAGGGGGGCACTCCATGCTGTACGATCTCAACGCACAGCTCAATAGATCACTGTGCCCCCACATGCGAGGGTGTCGACCATTGTCCCATGGGATTTCAGTTTCACCCCCATTACTCATTCCCATTCCCACATATTCTTGTCACTTCCTTTCAAACATCTTTTCACACTGCTCTTGGACCGCAATGCCCCAAATCAAATCCTCCTGGTATTTTATTTGTAAGATACAATATCAACACCTTTGACATTTGGAGAGTAAATGGTAATGTTGCCATTTTCTTAACACACATAGGTATTAGAAATAATTTTATTCGAGACATTTTTAGATATTAATTAATTAAATATAATTATTTTTCTTAATAAGAATTTAAATTTTGATTTGTCGTATTCTGATGAACTAATCTTTCTGCTTAAACTCAGTTCCTATTGGTTAATTGTGCAATTAAATTGGTATGCCAATTGCAGATTGGGCTTGCACATTTCTTGGGCCAGGACTGCGAGGGGAACAAGATTAGCATGGTCATTTTCGTTGCTTCAAATTAAATGTCATGTCAACTCCTAGCAAAAAAAAAAAAAAGTCAAATCAACTTTGTCTTGTCTTCAATTTTACAATGCTTTTTATTTGATCATAAAAGTCTATCCTGCTATATCAGTCTGTCACCGATAAGTATGGATAACTAAATTTTTTTTTTGAGTAAAACTAAACAAATTTTTCATACACTACACAAGGTATCTTTCTATTAAAATTTATTAACAAATTGATTGTGAAGAAAATATTTATAACTAACGACAAATACTTAATGTATGATGTTTAGCATGTTTTTTCATCAGGATAACTATGTTTATTTTGGTTTCTTAACATTAAGCTACTCCTCCGGTCCTAATTATAAGACCCAATTGACTTATTTGAGGAGATTAAGGAAGTAAGTTAAGTTGGTTATTTATAATAAATAAGTATTGTCATTCTTAAAATATCCTTGCTAATTAAGTATATTGGTTAAAACTATCATTATTAGAAGGATTATTTTGGAAAAAAATGCATAAATATAATAGACAAAATGGATTGGGGTCTTATAATTAGAACCAAATAAAAAGTCAAATAGGGTCTTATAATAAGGACAGGAGGAGTACAATTTAACATGCCCACTTTTTTTGCATAAAGAAATGTGATCCGTAGATACTGTCTATAAAATAATCCTATTTTTCTTATCTGAACTAGCGTCAGGTGACCAAATAATTATGATTTTACTAATGTCCAGTAGCTTCATCAGCGCCCAGGTCCACCCTGGCTGAAAGGAAAGGGGGAAAAGAACCTGAAGTTGGTGGAGAGAAAGCAATATGAGAATAATGAATACGACAAAGGGTTTTTAATTCAAGAGGTTGCAGAAACAGGACAGAGTACTTTTTCTTGTTAAATTTTGTGGTGAAGGGACAAGGATCAAGGCATGGGGTTGCAGAGAGAGTCAAATTTGTCATCCAATACTCAGAAAATGGAGTGAGCAGAGTCGGCAGAGTTTGTGGCTATTTTAAGCTGTAAGAAGTAACGCCCTGCCAATTTTAATCAAGTCATGAAACGTTTTTGCCACTTTCTGTATGCAATAGAGTTATGTAGGAAAGGAGTCAAGGGAAAGAGAATGGAAAATCTCAAGGTCTAAACCATGTGATTTGGTCCCATTTACATTAATCCTCTAATTAGTTAAGATCACGAGAAAATTACGTGTGGTATGTTTGGATTGTAGTTTTAAAGTTCAAATTGAGGTCCAGAAAACTCAGCAGGCGGTGTTTGGAACCCCTTGGACTAATCAAACACTATAAATCGAACTCTTTCTTTGTCTTATCGATTTTTACATGATTAGATTATGTGGAGTACTATAGACGAAGCTGGTGGTCACAAGCTGGAGTTATTCTTTGGAAAAAGCTCTTTGTCCGTGTCCGCTGATCCTTGTGGAAATCTAAATGCAGCCAACTTTATTCGGAGGAGAATATACCAAAGAGAGATGCAGCCTTTTTCCTGCACACAAGGGGTTATCGTTGATCTTGAGCTGGAGTCACGAACGAACATGTTGGGCTGATGAGAATCACGGGAAGGTGAACATCTATAGTGATTTAATTGAAGGTACTTAATCTTATTCAAAAGGATTCCTCCCCTCACAGACTTATCAAAGATAGAAAAATATCTGATCATGCATGATTGGATATTTATCTTTAAGTTTGCTTTCAAGTAAGGGAATAACTCCATAACGTTTGGCTGCTTTGTGATTTTCGTTTCACAATCTGGAATTATCTTTCAAACCCCAATTTTTTCAACATAACTCGGTTGGAAACTTAAAGCTTCAGTTTACACACGGATTTCCAAACACAGTTTAGTCCTTTCCCCAGCGTTCGAGTCGACCAATTCAGAGCATTTACCATAATAAGCCGAGTAAGTAAAGCCTGGAAGGAACCTGAATTTCCCACAAGATAAATCGATTGGCTTCAAATGAAATGCACACGCACAATGCAACTTCACAATCCCGTGGCCGTCATGTCCAAATCTTTCAAACGGTCTACGAGACAACGGCTTCATGTCTGTGTGACTAATCAAAACGACCCACTGGCTTAAACTTTGAATTTAAAACCGTCCTCCCTTGTTTGTTCCTTCAAGTTGACACAGGTAAACCAATCTTTAACATGGGAAGAAAGAATAGACACCTAACAGATCCTCTGAAAATCCCTTCCTCTCATTTTTCTTTAAGAATCTCATTTTTACCATTGGATAAAAAAGAAATGGTTCTGATACAATATTTTATAAAATTATTACTATAATATTATATAATTAGGGGGGAGAGAGTGAATATCTATTTTTTAAAATATCAAATCCCAACCTTTTCTTTCAATTTAATAGTGAAGATGGAATTTTAAGAAGAAAAGGAAAAAAAAGAAATTGTGAGAGCATCTCCCGCTGGCCCTTAGCGTCGGAAAAGAGCAACGAAATTGAACAGGGGGCATATTTTTAGGCGGAGCTAAAATTGACGTATAGAAAGGCCTTCGGGATCAAATGCCTCTCCCAACTCCGTCAACTTAAAAAGAAATAAACAAAAAGAATATTTGTCTTATCAGCATGATACACGTAAGCGAGCTGCGAAAGCTGAGGGCGACTAATAACAATCTAAAAATACACTCATACTTAACCTTAAAATCAATATTCAACAATATTTATTACTGTACCCGTCATTGGTTTCCAACGCATCACTTGTCCTATTCGATTGATTTCATTTCATCCTGTAAACCTAAAATCTGTAACACCTTCATGTATGAGCAAAAAATATAACAAGACTGCTTAATTTAAATTTTAAATGCTAACTTTTATAAGGCTTCTCAAGGTGCCAACAAATCTATGATTGTTCAACAATCAAATATCTCAGTTGCAGGTGGACAGTGAATTCAGCATTGTTATTGCAATGTGACCAGATCACACTTCAAATTGAAGCAGAGTATCAATCGAAAGGCAAAATACGCCTCAAGACATCAGATCTCAAATAAGCGGAGATGATGGAAGCACAGTGCTAGTCTGCTACATCTCCAAATTCCAAGTGGTTTCAGCGCTAATTTTCGGGACTTTCAGTTCCTCAGCCAAGTTAAGGGATGCTGTGACCTGAATGAAGAGAGAGAGCCTTCAGTGAGAAAATCTTGTTCACTCCCCATGAAAAATGAAAGAGCTATCCAAGAACAACTTGCGGAGAAACAACTCAATGCACCAGATCAAATTTTGTGCAGACTAGAACATAGCCAAAAAAAAAAAAAAAAAAGAATCTATTCATCGAGACTTGGGACGGTGGACACAGCAATCCACAAGGATGACATACAAATACACTAACCAGGAGTCCCTTGAGAATCATTCCAATTTTCTAAAACCATAACACTATTAACATACATGCGAGAAAATACGCCTTATGCATGCGAGCTCATTATGCCTCAGCCCCATACTGAATAAACTTGTACGTGAAGGAAAAATGTGAGAAAATACGTTAACACTTCAGGGTGAATTTGTGCTCTTGTACCAACCTACCAATAACTTCTGCAATTCTTCAAAATTATCCTTCAAACGCAACTAGCTTTTGTTTGCACATGGAATTATATTACTATCCAGAGGAGAGAATTTCATTTCAAGCAACCCCTATTCAAGTCAAGTAATTACTAAAGCAAAATCTATAGCTTAATTGCTTATTCCCCCCCAAAAAAAAAAAGAGACAAGTGAAAGGTCCTTCTCTACGTAACCAACTCTGGCTCACATTTTAATAAAGTCATCAATTTTCTGGGTATGCTAAGATTATATGACAATTTATTTGAAGAGATGTTGGGCAAGATATGTGATTGATTTCTCAAAAACTAGGCATCAATCTCGTAAACTCTAATTAAGACCAAATAGCAAGAATTATACAGACACCTAACAAGCGAGAGACTTCAATGCAACAGCTCTAGCAAATTCACAATTGTAAAAGTCAGTATGTCCAAGATTCCCATTTATAGCCAAAATTAGAGAGATAGCACTTCTATTTCGCATAATCCAGGGGCAGGAAGTGAATAAAAGCTTTATGCACAATTCCTACTATTTTTTCCCATAAAAAAGGCGTTATTTACATCAACATGTCACTGTGACAAACATAAAGGACATGTCAGAGTTCTAAAACCCTACATACTCTTGTCAACCAGAAAAAAGGATCAGAATTCTTGTAGTGTGTGCAGGAAATGAAAAGGCCAATTAACCTTCCACATGAATTCCCAAGAGGCTGAGTGCTAAAACGAGGAGTTAATGGTCTATGGTTAACACACGTATAAAGCCTCCTTGCTGTTTTCTTTCACGGAAACAAATACAAAGGGAGGTATGCCATGCAACCTAAAAAGAAAAAAATTATTCACCTTGAAGCAACCACTCTGCTTTGAATTCCGCGACCATTCTAGCCCCAGCAGTTTGCTTGATGTCTGGTACGAGGCCTTCAGCGAGTCATCACCGTAAACTCTCCGTGAAACTGCAAAGTCCCATGAGTTCTTAGCCAAATCGTAGGATGGCTCGAACGTGGTCACCCCCTGATGAAGGTAAGAGTACTTCAATTTGCAGTTTCCTGAACCAAGCGTGTGGTTAGCCGACAACTTATTAGAGGGATCGATTATCAATGTTCCATCCAAAGCAGTCCTGTTATCGCCCCAGGCATGAGAATAAGTCAAATTCAATGGCTTCTCGGCAATCCTAACGGTGTTCATAAACTGAAATCGAACGTCCTGCGGCACCAAAGGAGCGGGATATAGGATAAAAACGCAGGGAGCTAAAGAACCCAATCCCAGATAAGTTAGTAAAAATGTAAAAGCAAGCCACCCCAAGTGGGAGCAAGAAATACGGAATTACAAAAAACTAACAACAAAAGAAAACCATTTCTTGCGAAAAAATCAAAATATGCGGAGCAAAAACAGACATTTCGGAAGCCGCGCTCTGCACGATATAAATCTAACTCTACATTTGTTTGACTGAATTAACCGACAGCTAAACAAGCACATACTCGGTAACTATCAGGCAAGAAGAAATTGGTGGAATTTAGCAAATACCTTTTTGGGGACATTGTAATCGACTATAAAGAAGCCAGGTTTCTCGACAGCTAGAGCCAATCCAGTTAAGCTGGGTCCATTAACGATGGTGGCATCTGTTATAGAAGCTCGAAGCTTGACATCGCCGGCGTTAAAGGCAACGGTTGCGGCGGCACCGCCGTTTCTGTCCAAGTCATACTTGCCCTTCAAAGCCGCCTTCATTGGGAACAACGGAGACGAAAGAAAGACGAGAATTGAGACGATTGTTGGAGAACGGACACGAAATGAAACGAGAAATACCCTTTTTTATTAGCGCGGGTTTTCTATAGTCAGTCAAAGAACCGTTTAAATATGGGCCTGTGAGTAGACCCATTGGGTTGTAGTGAACTCATTCGTCGGCTACTATGGACTCAAGACTATTTTCAGACCTTAATAAGAAAAAAAATGGAACGAAATGTTTTGGTTTAAGGGGTCTGGTATCTCTTGTTTCAAGTAAATTTTCAGTTCAGAGACTTATTAGAATGGAATATTGATTATTCCAAATTTGAAATAATTTTCATTGATATCTCCAAAAAATATCTGTGCATGATTTTTTTCAATATTGATGTAAAGACGAACAAAATTTCTGTCTTCTGTTGGCAAACTACAGTAAAAATAACCGAGAATACAGGTATTATGACACGAAACTAAATCTGAGCCCATACACGTTACACTCTGTTTTTCTGCACCCCCTCCTACATATTAGGGACCAATCTCTCAAGTTTTTATTTTCATATTTTTAAAGTATGTTCTAGTGCTATTACTTGCAGTAGGAAGCAAACAAAATATAAGGGGGAAAAAACTAGCAGTAGAAATATCTTGCCGCCTCGACCTGTCTTCAGTGTCTTATTTTAGTGATAATGATTCTTTTTAATTGGCCATGTGAAATACCTTAATCATTATATTGCCAAAGGAGAAAAAATACCATAACAGACCAAAGATTTAAGTAGGTGGTTTAACACCACAAGTGCATGATGACGTACGGTTTTAGATTAGTAGCGATTTTAATTAATTATTGTTATCACTCAGTGATTATCTGTTACATGTGTCTGAGATGAGAAGATTTAGGTAGGTTGTTTTCAACTTAAAAGCCGTATCACCTACTAAAAATACGTCGTTGCTCCACCAAGTCCTTATTGCGGAATGCAATATCACCAGCAAAGACAAGCAAAATCCCATATCGTGGAATGCAATCTCGTCACCCCTTCGAAGAGGAAGAGCAATAAAAGAAATACATACACATATATAATATATATGTGTGCACGTACATCCATTTTCCTGCAATCCACAGAGAAAAACTACGTATAGGCTGGAGCAACGCATTTTGCTTTTCCATCGTTGCGAATTTCTGCAAGCAAGTCACCCCCAAATCCTGTGTTTAGGGTTTGGCCGGAAAGAGGAAGGGATTCCGTTTTCCGCAGAGTCCTTTCCTTTGTCAATATTTTCAAATAAGAGGGAGGGCCCGGCGGATTTTTTTTTTTCTTTCCAATTTTCCTGATGAGGAAACTTTGTCCTAATTTTGATAACGAAGATGGATTGGAGACGGTGTTGGAGGTGCCATTCCCTGAAGAAATGTTGCTGTGTCTGGGGAGCTCTACATCTACTCGTTGGAAAAATCTGCAATCTCTCATGAAAGCTCAACCCATTGATAGTTATTCGCATCTCTCTTCTACCTCAAGAAATGAATTCATGGCGTTGCTTAAGCTTGTTGGCTCTCCCCTCATTCCGGTTCAAGTTCAATCCGATCAGACTTTATTAACGCGGCCTCTCAAAGATTGTTCCATCGTAAGCGTCACCAATCTTTTCCTTCCTTCTCTTAATCTCAAAATTCTATTTGTTCGGCAATGCTGTTTTATAAACCATACAACCTTACGTATAATCTGTTACGGGCATTCATCACTATGATGACTCCCGCCATGCAGGTCTATTTCGTGCCTCGACTGATCATCGAGTTTTTCTTTGGACTGTTAATTATCAAATGATTTTCACCTGACCTTTACGTGTGAATTTTCCGGTGCTGCTAGAATTCTGAGAATATAACTTCCGTGACTGGGTCTAGAGAAAGATAACCGCCCGAAGTCTCGAAATCCACTAATTCCAATGGCTCCGTATTGATTGATTTAGGGGCAACCCATCAGGACTCTCTGAGATTCTGAAGTGAATTCTGAATCACTTCAGATAAATTCGAGTTCTAATTAAATTATTCTGAATTCCAGGCACTGCTAACTCACCCGGCCGCTTGGTGTATTTATTGCACCTAGTCTGCTTCTCGGTTTATACATCTTGATTTATGATGATTTTATCAGGAACCATGCTTCCCGCCCTTTAATAAAGTCGGTGGGGGGACATTTTGGGTTAATATATATTTAATTTGTCTGACATAAAAGCTTATGCCAAAACTAGCTTTAATTTGTGTACTAATTTTCTAAGTTATATTTTTAAACAATTAACAAGTACTATGCTGTGACAGGCAGATTCCACGGCGAAATATATAGTACAGCAATACGTAGCAGCTACTGGGGGACTAGCTGCTCTGAATGCTCTGAAAAGTATGTATGCAATGGGACAAGTGAGAATGTTCGGGTCAGAGATGCAAATGGGAGAAGGTAGCGTGCACACGAGAGGCAGGCCTGAAGTAGGGGGCTTTGTGCTATGGCAAAAGAACCCAGATTTGTGGTTTCTGGAATTAGTCGTTTCCGGTCTCAAGGTTAGTGCAGGCAGCGACGGGAAGGTGGCCTGGAACCAGTCTTCTTCTCAACCTTTTCATGCAAACAAAGGCCCTCCTAGACCCCTTCGCAGGTTCTTCCAGGTGATAATTAGTTAGCATACAGGCATGGCCTCGGCATTAAAAACCATTGCTTATGCTATAATTTCGTCCTTGTATTAAATTAAATTATTGACGATATGATGACTTAGCTTCATTCTGATCTCGTGCTTTGTTCTTGTTATTTCCAGGGTTTGGACCCAAGGTACACTGCCAATTTGTTCCTAGACGCAGTATGTGTAGGAGACAAAACCATAGAAAATGAAGAGTGTTTCTCTCTCAAGTTAGACACGTCAATGCACATTCTGCAAGCACAGAGTTCGCCTAATACTGCATTTGTGAGACACACAATATGGGGATACTTTAGCCAGCGAACGGGGCTGCTTGTCAAATTTGAAGACAACAAGCTGGTGAGGATGAAGCCTCCTAAGGGAAGTAATAATGACTTTGTATTTTGGGAAACAAACATAGAGTCTGTGATGGAGGATTATAGGTATGTGGACGGCATTAACATAGCGCATGGCGGAACCACGGTGGCGACGCTTCACAGGTACGGTGGGTCGCATAATCACAAGAGGAAAATTGAGGAGACGTGGAGGATTGAAGAGATTGGTTTCAATGTCCCTGGGTTGTCCAATGATTGTTTTCTGCCTCCCTCTGATCTCCAGGAGGGAACATGATTCCCCAGAACAACTAGCAGGAGTGGGTTAATTAGGATTTTGCTTTTCCTTCTAATTTTCTTCACTTTTTGGCTCTCCCAACACCAGCTGTAAGAATATGTGTGTACATAAGCAAATTTAGGTGAGTGAAAAGTTTATGACGTGTCATAATCTTAATGGTCCATAGAACGTTTCTGAGATCGGAATTCTTCTATGCGTTTTTGGTCCGACTTTGCATTTTCCGGTGTAGCTGTCCTTTTATTTCTAGTGTTTCATTTGATTTTCGTATTTTGTTCAGCCTTTCTATCAGAAACATATTGAAGAAATTGGGTGTGTGTGTGTCTTTTAGATTTTTCGCATGCCAGAGGATTTTTTTTTTTTTGGTAATTCGCATGGGGGAAGTCATAATTCAACTGTTCAAAATTTTAAACTTGCAGCTTGAAAAACTTGCATGTACTGATGTACATGAAACATGAAGTCCATAGAGTAAAAGTCTAATTAATTAAGAGATAATGATACTTTTAGGGTTTATACTGTTATTCATTTCTTCAGATTAAGTTTATTTTTATGACGAAAAGGTTTCAAATTTTTTTATAATTTAAATATTTCCAACTTTAGTCACCCTTGTTATATTTCCGTTATTATCTTTATCACGTGCACTAAAATACTTATATACACTAACTGTGCGAAACTGTCACTTTTTTTTTCCTCCAAAAATATTACTCCTCCGATCCTTGATATAAGACCTAATTATTGAGCTAATTTTGATCTTAAATATAAGACCCATTTATCATATTTGTCAATTTTTTCTAAATTACCTCTATGGATACTCTCTTGACCATAATCAAGTAGAAGAGGAAGATGGGGTATTAAGAAAGATGATTATGATATTTTAGGAAAAACGTGCCACATTTATTGTAAATTAGTAACTTCCTTAATTTAATCAAATTAGTTAAATGGGTCTTATACTACCTCCGGTTCTAATTATAAGAGCAAGTTGACTAATTTAAGGAGATTAAAAAAGTAAGTTGAGTTAGTTATTTGTCCTAAATAGGTATTGTCTTTTCTAAAATATCCTTGCTAATCAAGTGTACTGATTAGAATTATAATTATTAGAAGGACTATCTTGAAAAAAATTGAGTAAATATGAGAGACAAAATGGATTGAGATCTTATATTTAAGATCAAAATAAAAATCAAATAGAATTTTATATTAAAAATTGAAAGTAATATTAAAGATCGGAGGAGTAATACGAATTGGGGCGGAATACTTGACTTTCATTATTATTGTTCTTGCCTCGCACTTCCATTATTATTGTTTGGTCCAGAAAACTGAAAATGTATTACTACTACTTCTGTTATTACTCGAATATTACCAGAAGCTGCATTCTTTTTGGGCCTCTATTTTTGGACCTCTGAACCATTTTTTTTTTTTTGTCTTCAGCCAACATTTATATCTTGTTTGGTACGAGGGATACAGAAGGAAAGGAAGAGAAAAGGAGAGATTTTGCTTCCTTTCTCTTATTTAGCTTTATAAAATTTGCAGGAGGGGAGGGAAAATTTTCTGAAATTTCTCCTCCCCTCCAAGATTGTAGGAATCTGGAGGGGAGTGTTAGTATTTTGTCTTGTCATAACTAATATATGTCTATGCTTATATTTAATGTTCCCAAATTCTATCCTGGCTCCTTCACTCTTTTCACATCTCCATTGTTTATTATTAAATTGCTTTTAGTTTTGACCATTCTTTCGTCTCAATAAAATCCTTTATTAACAAAAAGTGCTGTATAGTGTGGATGATGAACAGAAAAATAAGCTTCATCTTTTATTATTTGCAAGTAGCAAACTTTGTTTTTTTTTTAATATTTTATATAACATACAGGAATGCAAAATATTCCAGTCACAATGCCAAAGAATTTTTTTTCCGACACAAAATGACGCACGTAGAAAGAAAACAAGACTACTTACAGAGTTACATATTAATTATCTATTATAACTATATTTATTTAATTTTGATAATTATAAAATTATAATTTTATATATTAAATGTCACTTATAATTCTATTTTATTAAATACTTTAAAAAGTTTGAAAAAACAACTTAAATAAAATGAGGGCAAAATTGTTTATATAAAAAAAATTTTCTTTTCTTTCTCTGCTAAACTAAATAAGGTAACATTAAAATCACTACTCTTACTTCTCTTTTGATTAATCTAAATAAAGCAATATTAAAATTTCTCCTCTCTTCTTACCTTCACTTTCTTCTATTAAAATTCATCCCTTACCCCAAACAGTCTAATAAAACGCCTATGGTCATATTTCACAAATGCCTATGGTCAAAAATTAAAAAAATTTACAAATGCCGGGAAACTTTTGGCCAAAAAATTGCCGGGAAAACAGAAAAAGTTGGCAGGGGAGAGAGGACGCGAAAAACCCAAAAGAAAGGTGAAACGAGCGGATGTCTAATAAAACGGCACCAGCTTGCAGGCGTCGACCGTAACCCGCGAAGCGCATTGTAAACCCTAATCTGCGGCGGAACCTCTATATAAATGTTTGGGTCGCGCCTCCACGGTCCAGATTCCGCCTGTTGTGGCCTGTTGGCTTCTGCGTCTAAATTCTGTGTAGCTACGATTTCGATTTCTGGGTGCTGCGTTTTCAGGAAATATATCCATATTACTGAGTAAATCAGGGATCCAAACTTCCCCATGAATTTCTTTCTTTTTTTTTCCCCTGGAGATTATTTAGAAATATGTCTCGAACACTTGCGCTTTGATAAATCATTTGGGTTGGTCTGTTAATTGTTACCTGTTTGTACTTCCGCTGCCACTCTAACGTTTTGCATTTGTTTACCCGCTTCATCTGGTGTTTAAGTTTCAATACCAGTGGAGCTACAACGGATGCAGAGATTGAAAGGTTGGCTTACCAGCCCATTGCACAGCTTTGATTCTTGCCTTGGGTCAAATGGACCTTCCGAAACTTTCTTATTTTGGTTTTCAATCATCTCTTCCCCCTTTGTGTCTCCAATTTGCATAGTCACCATGGCATGGGATGATTACTTTTAATCCGCTTATTGATATACTGATAAGCTGTGCTGATTTCAATTCATCTTTTTCTGATGCCATTACGGTATAGATCCATGACATGTTTTATTGTTTACTTTGTTACTCCCTTCCAAATCCATGTATTTTAGGTCTTTTTTTACCACTTGAAGTAGTATTTGACACTTAAATACGTTTAGTTTCCCTTTTTATGCAGATCTGGTATGTAGTTTAGGTCTTTTACCTGATCCTTTTTTGACAAGGGATGGCAAATGATGTTAAAATTTTCTTATCCTACACACTGATTTCCATGAAGATTCAAAACTCCGCTTATTATCTGATGCCTTCCCTGTTCCTTCTTTTCGCTGTAAGTTCGAAATGCCTTTTACCCCTCCCTCCTCTTCCCAAATTCTCTTTGTTTTAGCTCTTATATTTTTTTTTGTTCTTGGAAAGTGGATATGGTTTTAGTGTAATCAGTGATGAGAGAATGCAGACGGGCGGACTGAAATTGATGTCATGTTGATTGTCTGCCATTTCCATATTTGGAATGTCTCTGAGATTCATAAAGACCAAGTGTTACGCACCTATATTTTATTTTTCTTTGACACTGCTGAAATTTTTTCATATTTTATGGTGTTGTATGGTTTGGGCACATTTCGTCAGCCTGAATATCGAATCTTATGACTGTTTTAAGCCTGCTGTGATGAAGTTGCATAAAATATGTCTGGACATATGAGGCTTTTCTATGATTATTTGCTTCTTCTGAGCAGCATCGTCAACACATAATTTACGTTCTTGTGCCCTGTGGTGCCCCGTTCTGATATTACTATAATGATTTTGAAGTTTTGGCCACCGTTATTGATTCTTGGTATCTAATCGGGGATATCACGACCTGTCTCGTGAGATAAAATAAAATGGAATAAACACAATTGAGTTTGGTATCGTATTTTAACGATGGAATGGAACGGGAATAACTGCTGTTTAAGTACGTGGTGTCATTCTAATTTGCGGCTTACATCTTGGAACAGAATGGGGAAACGATTATAATTATTCTTTGCTATTTTCTCATAAACTCAAGTTAAAATCCCAGATATATCGTAGTTTACACCTGCCAGGCACCCCAAAAATAAACAAGTCACACTTTATGTCCTAAAGTATCAGAACGTTACTTTATGGTATGTTAATCCACGGTTTCTGTTACATCGTTGTCTTTCACGAAACTGCAGAGTCAGGGCAAGATTTTCCAAACGATCAATGACGTTTTTCTGGTTTTGCCAGTGTTGCTAAATGCAACCGAGATGAAGACCCATTAATGCTTTCTACTGCTGACGTTAGTCTTGTGTTTCCATGTCATTCGGTTGTATATAGACTGACCGCCACGATTGGCGGGGTAGGTCTAATGTTTTCTTCTACTAAAGTTGGAATGATTCATGGCAGCTAGTTCGTAAAGGCTTGGCCTCGTTTTAGGTTGAAAGTGTGTGAGCTGTATAGCTCTGTGTTCTATGATCATCCCTGTTAATATTAATTTGTTTTTGAATACTTTTTTAAACGACGAAGGGAACATCTTAATTAGCTTATCTATTCATTGACATTGTCAGATAAAGATTCGGATGGTATTACAGGGAAATTTGAAATAACTGTTTAATTCTGTTTAGTCTTGACCGATTTTCCCCTTATGAGAAATGGGACGAACGCTTTAGTTTAATCTGTACTTCACTTGTTTTTTTTTTCTTCTTTCTTTTCTGTATTCCTAATTTTGCGCACTTTTGGATCGTGCATACTTGAAATTGTATGACCAACTGGCTGCCAAGAAATCGAATTGGAACTAGGTTCGTTTAAATGGTTCAGAATTATCCAGATGAGTGAATCGGGCGATATTTAAAATTAAGCTTATAATCAAGTAGGAGCAGAACCCATTATTAGATTAAGCAAATAAAATGGGGAACAGGTTTTGATTTTGTTTCTCGGGCCAGAGTATATGATTATATGAGCGGATCAAGCGGACCGAGACCAATCTGATAAGCACCTCACGAGGAGATGCAATGTGGACCCTTTCCCAGGTCAATCATGAATCCGTTGGTGACGGCTAAGGGTGGTGAATGGTGATGTCTGTATTGGCTGATTGTACCTACTCCGTTCCAAGGTCGCAGACAATTATTGTTAATGGTGGCCCACAGCCCACAGCTTTCCCATCGATTCACCCTTTGTTATCTTCTCTTTTAGTTGTGAAAATAGGCACAGCTTCTATCTCTAATTACTCAGATGAAGATCCATCCATAGCAGTGTTTCCGGCCGGAATGAAGAGAGAAAGCTCTGAAGCCGGACAAGCAATGGGCAAGAGCCACTACATGTTCTGGGTATTTACTGCCATTATCCTTTTAGCTGTTTGGTCACTGTTCACAGGCTCCCTCACTCTCAAATGGTCTGCTCCCAACCTTTCCCGTTTCTCCTTTGATTTGGATTCTCGGGTTCTCGACGACCTTGATGTGCTGGTACTTTCCCACCTCACATGATATCTGGTTCTTCATTTCTTCTTCTTCTACTTCAGACTGTGGATAATATTATTGTGTGTTAAATTATGCTGTGCGCGTTTGGCAATAGGAAGTGGAGGAGAGGGAGAAGTTAGTGAAGCGCATGTGGGATGTGTACACGCACTCCAGTACCATTCGGTTACCTCGATTTTGGTCGGCGGCTTTTCAGGCTGCTTACGAGCACTTGGTCAGTGATGTTCCAGGCGTTCGAGACTCTGCCATCTCTGAGATTGCTCAGATGTCATTGCGTTCATCTGATTTAGACATCCTTCCTCTTCAATCAGAATCGGTAAGCTGAGCTAATCTCTTCGTCTCTTTAATCTCTTCGTCTCTTCACAAGTCTTCTATCTCATTGAAATTGCAAATCTTCGATTGTTTTGTGCTTTCGGCTTTGCTATTTTCCAATCTGTGCCTTTGGACGTAAGAATTCGCGAGATTCTCATCTTTCCTGGATGATTAATTCCGTAATCCTTACAATTGAGCGATGTCTTGTATTTCCTGTGCTGGTTTTTATTCTTTTGTCGCAGTTCTTGTCTTTGAAGTTCAATTTCTTGATGGGCTGTTGTGAGACTGTTTTCAATTGCAATTCAAACAATCGTTGCCGAATCCTTTAATTACATTGCGAGAGATGTCGAGAGTCCCATGCAGCGATTACAATTAGGATTCAGTGACTCTCTTCTTTATGCTTCTTCCATCTGACTCGAAGTCTTAATGTGGCTCAAGCACATTGCTTCTGCCTCTCACCAAGCATGTAATTCATACATCTCTCTAATTCCTAGTAGCTTTTATTATTTATTTGATAATGTGCTTTTCTTATTATTGATAACTTTACCCAGTAGTAGGCCGAACGTCACTGCTGGTTACTACTATAACTAGGAACAAACATTCATGCTCTGCTGCTAAGCTTGGTCACATCTTCAGGATCAGCATGTGAAGGAAAATTAAGCAAGAAAAGAGAAGGCATGGGAAGTACAGTTGGCAATGACAGACAACAAGAATCCTTCATTTTAAAGCGGACGATTAGCACTGGTTTCGATTTTCAGCTGATGTACAGCCTTCAACAATGCATATCATTGTTTATGAATTCCCTTGTCTCTGTCCCAAGCTCATCTTCCAAATGAATAGAGTGCTGTTCCTAGCCTAGGGGTGTCAAGTTTGAAATGTAAAAGTTGCTCGCGGTGTAAACCTCACTTTCAATTTTAAATTATTGTGTTGCATTAACTTACCATGGATATTATTACCAAAATATAAGTTTGCTTTCATATGCTTCGACATATTTTCTGTTATTAATCATAGTTATGCGTTGGATCCTTTTGTTTTAGGATTTAAGTCCTGCAATATTTTTACTTTATATCAACAAAAGTCGAATGGATTTGCTTCCAATTATATAAGCTTATAATATTAAAGACGGAGGTGATCCTAAAATGCCCAAAAAGGGTCAAGATAAAAATGTGACAAGTAACACCGAAAGCAGATCTAATTAAATTCGGACGTCGAGCGCTGCAGAGAAGTGAAACAGCAAGGGAACAACACTACTCAGCAAAATTAGATATTACGAACGAAGGATATATACACATTACATGCTGATCATGGGCTTTTTCTAACCTCTCAAACTACCCTTCTTACACGCGTTTTACATCGCAGCAGCTTACCTCTGCTATACATTTGTAAAGGAACACTCTCTTTCCGGCACGCACACTTTTCTGAGAAACCAGACAACGTGAGAGAACAAGTTGAAGAACACAAAAGAAATGTCTTCCCTCATGAAACATGACATGTCAAAGGCAGACCAAGCCAATGAAGAACAACCACTTGCAAGTGTCAATTAAGCGTCTGGTAGGGCCGACTCCAGACATAGATATGTGACTGCTATTAGCTCGGGTATCATTAATATTAGCATTACCGGAATTCAGAAAGCAATTATTGTAACCTGCGAAAACACAGAATGAATATTGTTATCACAGTAATTCACTTTTTAGAAAAACAGAGCTTAGTGATTAAAAAATCGAAGTTGGATTGGATTGGACTTACTTGGGGCAGTGGACGTGAGCGTGGCTGTATTTGCAAAATCACAGTTCTTGGGATCACGTCCAGCGGTCTGATAATAAAGATTCATGGCATAAGCGGCATGAGCTTCGAGCGTGTCCGGTTGGAAACATGCCCCGCCAGCTTTTATAGGGCCACAATCAATCCCATGTCCACAAGCGTAATTCAGATTTCCTTGTAGCTGTGCAGCTGTTAATCCTGCTTTTGGAACACACCACACCCCTCCTTTCGTCGGCGTCGGCGCTGCCGTGGGCGACGGCGTTACAGTTGGCGTGGAAGTTGGACTTTGAGCGGCCCCAGATTTTGTCGAATTCTTACTTGAGAGGCCAATATCATACGTCATGGTCAGGTCGGGCTTGAAAAGCCCGAAGGATCGCTCAGAAGTAGTGCCAGGCTTCAAGTCCTCGTCATATAATGCAAATAGGTACGTATCTACTGGTTTTCCGGGCATAAGTGGGGTCCCAGACATGGAACGTAAGTGCGAGATCAAGTTACCGTTGTAAGCCTTTGCGTTCTCGATGCTAGCACCGACTTCATTGGTGTCGCCTTTGTATGGCCAACCAGTCTCAGCGACGACGATCTCGACGTTCTTAAACCCCAAAGAGTTCAACGCAGAACGTACCGCATCAACCTGAGCATCGAACATGTTCATGTACTTGATGTTCGTGTTCGAGTCAAGTCGGCCAGAGTTGGGCTGGAAGGTGCAAAAGGCCAGAGTTTCGGGCCTGGGGTCGCTGGTGTAAGCGAAGTATGGGTAAGGATTAATGGCGAAAGGCGAAGCGTTGGCGTCGTTAAAATCCAACACTCCTTTCAGTAAGGTCGTCAAACCCGGTTTGAAGGCTCCGGAAGAAGGAGGTTCGGACTGACCCAGCACCGCCATGGCGTGGACGGTGGACACTTTGATTTTCCCACCCAAAGATGCGGAGTTAAGCGCGTCTTGGAGGTTCTGCATCGCCGGCAATAGTTGGTTTTGTAGATTCTGGTCGCCGAAGGTCAAGACTTCGTTGCCGACGGTGATGAGGATGATCTTGCTGGCGGGGTAGAATGGGATGACGTTGGAGTCGATCCAACTTTTGGCAGCGCTGGGGTCGGAAGCGAGGGATGGTATGTCGCTGTTGGCCGATCCGATGACGATGCCTATGTCTGTGTGAGCGAGAGCTTTGATGATGGCAGGGTCTGTTCCGTACAACCGGACTTTTTCGATTGCGGTGGATTGGAGAAGCTTCGCGGTGGCATAAGGCGGTGGGAGATTGTCGGCGACTTCGCCATAGTTCACACCTATGAATGAATCACAACCTGCGAGCAACCATAAATTCAGTCGGTGAATATAGTATCAAATTAAAGGGAAGCGAGAGGAAATTTAAAAAAAAAAAACTATCAAAATTTGAAAGGGAAAAGAACTGGCTTTGGAACGGATTTTCAATTATCTTATCTTTCCCTTGCACACTCAAAAGCAGACAAACCCACCCTCTCTCAGCGGACAAAGCAAAGGATAAATGAATATAAATAACCAAAAGCAGGAATGAAGCATATGAAACCAGAAAGGTGAAGTTAGCTTTTGTTCCAAACCAGCGATTCGTAGCTAATTCATAGCAAAATATTGAATATAAACCAGAAAGGGAAACTTTGGAATGAATAGAATCAGGAAAATACAGAGACGCGGACTTGAGAACCAGATGTGGCTCGAGTTGAAGGAAACAGATTGATTAGCATAAAACAGGGTAGGCTTCGGAGTATAGCAATGTAAGCAGAATCAGAGTAAAAGAATTACTCGAGAGGTTGAAGGCTCGGAAGAGAAGAAGGAGCAAAAGAATCGCAGAACGAGAGAGCAAGGCTTCCATGGCGGAGGAGCACACCCAGGCTTGCGCATCTGGGGAGATTTGAAGTTCCAAGACAAGACAATATAAAGCAGGGCCGAACAGTACTGCAGGGTACAATAGTAAACTCGCATCTTCCCGGACAACAACTAAGTCCGAAAACTAGTACTTCTCCTGTATTTTAATATAAGACTCATTTAACTAATTTGATTATATTAAGGAAATTAGGTAAGTTAGTTAATTATAAGAAAAGTGACACATTTTTCCTAAAATACCATAATCATCTTTCTTAATACTCTCTCTCCCTCTTCTATTTGATTATGATTGAGGAAGTATCCATAGGGGTAATTTAGAGAAAAATGATAAATATGAGAAATGAATCTTATATTTAGGACCAAAACTAATTTAAAAATTAGGTCATATATTAAGGATTGGAGAAGTAATTTTTTTTAATCTCAGCAATCGATTCAAACAAAAAAGGTTAACTTGTCCATATTAACGTTTATACTCCAATCAATCAAAAGGAAAACACTCCCAGTGTATATTTCACATCTAGTTAAGTTGGTTCTCATTGTTTAGTTACTTGGTCTCCTATCTTCTTAGATGTGTAAATCCTTTTAAGTGTTATTTGAAAACTACTTCTCTCTTCTGAGAGATATTTTCAAGTGCATGTCGTGCGATGTTAATTATCAAGCTATTTGACTTCTCTTGTAAAGGCTTAATGCAAACCTGTTTCTCTACCTGTTTCATTCATATTAATTAGTTCAGTAATTTTTTCCACCGAGTTGAGAAAAATGATATTATATTTGATCATAATTATAAGACCTCATTTATAATTTACAAATAAAATCTTATAATTAAGATAAAAAATAGTAGTATTAGTTCCAAACAGAAAAGTAGAGGTAGCTACTTCAATTTAGATGTTGATATGAAACAAATTACTATGCAACTTTTACTTCCATGCTAAGAAACAGCATTATTATTATTTTTTTCCCATGCAACATAAAGTTTGAAGCACGAATAAAGCAAAGCATTTAACTTAGACCGCGCCTTGAAAAGTAGCACCTTATATTATGGCAAGGTAATTAAGTGGGATTAAGAAGGGACCAAATTCAACGTGGAAGAACTTCAGGGCAAGCAAGCGTAATTCATGCAGCAAATAAAAAGTATACCCCACCAAGCCAAAGTACAGTCTTCACGTTAGAACTTTACATTTAAAGCGGTCCTCCTCATAAGTTCAAACTTGCTGTCATTCAAACCAAAACAGGGCTTCGCAGCCACATTTCATTCAAACTTGCCTAGCCGTTCTGCTACATTTTGGCAAATTTCTGCTTTATGGCTTCAAATGGCCAAAATTAGCAGTAGCAGCCACACCTTTTTTCTTTTTAACGTTTCTTTATATAATTTCCCCTCACAAACAAGTCAAATGCAAATACATTCATGTACCCAATAATGCTGAGAAAAGCTAATGATGAAAAAACAATTGCATGAGTGCTTGGTTCTGCTTTTAGTTCGGCTCCACCCACAAAGTTTAATAGACAGAAAAAAAAATAAAGAAGAGTGTGGTGCCGTGTTTCTGAGATGTTACAACGTATAGGGATTCCACTTCCCCGATGATTTGCCCTCCTTTCTCACCACTTTCATTTCTTAATTCACAAGGCACCATTTAGAGTTGTTTTCTCCTTGTTCCTTTCCCCCAATGGAATTCGCCTCTCACTTGTATACACATCCTTATTTACGAGAATAACATGCTTTTTAATTTTAAATTTGATTTTATACGTCTGCGTTTAATATGTTCTCCGTATATATTGAACTGACTAGCAAATTAAATAGGAATGCGGTAAGGTGATGGAATTTTTTTTTTTTTTTGGGGTACAGCAGATGAAATGATCTGGCGTCAGATAAAGCAACCCTGCAGTAAGAATTTTATTTGGCAAAGACCGAAAAAGGAAGAAAAGAAAAGAAAAACAAACAAAGGAGAAAAATGGGGAAAAAGAACAATGAAAATGAAACGTGTTTTTTTGTACGAATGATATGGGCTTTCTACATGAGCCAGTGTCGATATAAATCCATGGCCCGTTGGGTAAACCGAACATTATAGTGTGTCGCTGGGTTGCGGGAGGTTGTTCGGCCCAAAAATAAGCGATCGGGTCTATTCGCCATGGAAATTAATTAGTAGCAATCGCATAAAAAAAATACGAAAAGGATATTTGTCAAGAAAATTAAGATTTGTTGATGCCATCAACATATCTGAATCTCCTCATCCAAATCCATGCGGCTGATTTTCTTATTTTAACGGACGAGTTTATTAAAACTTAAAAGTTATACGCAGTAAAATCTATTTATGTAAAATTCTAATGAAATAAAATATATTTGAGATAACTAGTAATATAATATAATTTTGAAATATATAAAATATTTGAATTGATTTTTTATGTACTTATTTCTAAACGCAGTATATTAAGTAATGCATAAGTAATATATTTTACTTTTACTAATATATATTGGTAATTCCATCTATTATATAGAGATATTATCTTGATTTCTTGATTTGACTTACTTGACTAGTATTGGATTAATTTCTTATCTCTTCATCTATTGTTCTTTCCTGCCCTAACATTTTTCTCTTAAATAAAATTAAAAAAACGTGAGACTTTATTGAAAAATCCATGTGAACTGCGCGGGATATTGCATAGATAAACTCAATCTTCCAGCACTATATAATCCGAATTAACATTTTCAATTTCTTAATATCTGGGAGAAATAAAATCTTTTGCGCGGGATTCTCTAGCTGGGCGTATAATAACGGCACCATCAGATCTCTCTTAAATTATAGTATTAGATATTTTTACAATGTTATTGATGTAATTCTAATTCTAATTCTAAACAGAACGAATAATTAATTATCTGCAATTCACTTATCAAATAAAGATCATCATAAATCAGATTGCGGCAACGTATCTTATACGAATCATCCTTCCTTTTTTTCAGCATAGATATTCGGCTATAAAAGAACGGCATCCCCCTCCGCGCCTTACTTCCCATCTCGATGGATAGGGTGCTAATCTTCAGTTACGTCAGATGGCGTCTACCCGCAGGTTATCTCGTCGTTCTGGTTTTTGACTAGCGATGGCCCTGGCTGGCGGCGATCGAAGCCGGCAAGAATGATACTAGTTGAACCGGAATCGTTTTGGTAATCCAGTCACGAATCATGCAAGGTATCTCAAATCTGGAGGGCCTTTCAGATATCAGAGCTCGTGATCTGTTGTTTTGTGGTTTTCACCTAACGGAAATATGATCTTTCTCTTAGGTCACGGGATCTTGAAGTCTGCAATTCCACTGATCTTGATGGGTTCTTGTACGTAGATCATCAAGGATTAAGGCGGCTATCGGCGCTACTGTTAGCTGGGCAGAGTGACAAATTTACAGAAATCTCGCTGAGGGAAACTGATAAATGGAGGGAGGGATTGGTTTGGTTGTAGAGGATTGAAACAGAAGTTACATTGAAGGTTAGATATTTGTTATATTGTTTTAAACTTATCTACTGGTTGTAGGCCTTTGCCATGACGGGTGCGCTTGCATGGCAGGTCAAACAATACTTAATAAATTTCTTTGTTTTGGCGGTCGAGGGGGAGATTTTGCCGTCCGGCTCTCCCCCTCGCGGTGTGCGTGTGTTGTGTCGCCTTCTTCTTCCTCTTCTTCGGGCCTTTGCCATGACGGGTGCGCTTGCATGGCAGGTCAAATGATACTTTCTTTTTTTTGGGGTCGAGATTTTGCCGGGCCGGCTCTCCCCCTCGTGTTGTGCGTGTGTTGTGTTTCCTTCTTCTTTTTCTTTCTTTCTTCTTCTTCTTCTTGGCGTAAAAGGTAAACACGATACTGAGCAATTCCGTTTATAGAATTGTTGAGATTGTCCGTGTTTGTTAAAATTTCTCACAAGTCAATAATATTGATCTAGTTTTGGTTCATCTATTGAGTGCGTAATTGGCTTTTGATTATGATTTTGATTTATTTATTTTTCATTGATTAAATAAGGAAGACATATGCTCTTTGCTCTCGGCTCTGTTCATTCCTTCTTCTGCACAAGATATAAAAGGATGCTGTACCGGATGGCTTCAAAGCGACCCGTGAACCTTTATGTTCGCTGGCTTGATGGATTCAGACAAACTTTTGAAATAGTATCTGGATCATTCACAAGTAGTTCCCAGCTATTCTCTAGGAATACTTTTGTTATTTCTGCACCTCCCCCCCCCCAAGTCGATGTAAGTTAAAAGTTTTTACTCTCGTTATTACAAATGTAAAGGATGCTGAAGCTGTAAATTATATATATATATATATATATATATATCCTTTCGTCTACTAGCTAGTGACTTTCGTTTTCTGTATACTGTTATAATTTTTGTCTACTTATCTGCTGGATCAATGTCTGTGTAGTGGGTGAGTGGTGGACCAACTATATGGAGACTCTTCCGTGTGGTACGATGGAAGTGGAGGGGAGGAACCGGAAAGAAAAATTTCAATGATCTATATAAAAAATTGGAGAAGTTGAATAAAAAGTTTTAATTATTTTTTCTTACTCTTTTATCTTATATTTTTTTTATTAAAATTTTATAATCTCACTTCTTCAATTTTTTTAATTAAATTGAGCTTCTTAACATTTTTTCTCCCACTCTTCCAATTCCCATGTACCAAACATAGGGTTAGGAAATTGAAATTTTCTCATTTGGATATATTATACGCATTCATATCGAAGTTACGGAAGCAGGATTACAGATTCTTTTACGATACTTTGATAATGGTCCTATGTAATTGAGGAAGTTGTCTTGTATATTCGAGCTGATATATAATGAATTTCACAAACTGATTGATTATCAAATTCCGAACCTGTTATATATCTTTCATTTCATCCATGCATCCTCCTTGGGAGAAAAAAATATTCGTTATTTTGATGCAAATTAATTTAATACATTATATTTATATATGCTAAATTCATTCCTTAGTTATGATTCAAAACTTGAACAAATATCCTTTCATAGCCTTTGAATTTACTCGGCCTTTTACATAGAGG